GTTATATAAAGTCTCCTCCGTGAACACATACTGCTGTTATATAAAGTCACCTCCGTGAACACATACTGCTGTTATATAAAGTCACCTCCGTGAACACATACTGCTGTTATATAAAGTCACCTCCGTGAACACATACTGCTGTTATATAAAGTCACCTCCGTGAACACATACTGCTGTTATATAAAGTCACCTCCGTGAACACATACTGCTGTTATATAAAGTCACCTCCGTGAACACATACTGCTGTTATATAAAGTCACCTCCGTGAACACATACTGCTGTTATATAAAGTCACCTCCGTGAACACATACTGCTGTTATATAAAGTCACTCCGTGAACACATACTGCTGTTATATAAAGTCACCTCCGTGAACACATACTGCTGTTATATAAAGTCACCTCCGTGAACACATACTGCTGTTATATAAAGTCACCTCCGTGAACACATACTGCTGTTATATAAAGTCACCTCCGTGAACACATACTGCTGTTATATAAAGTCACCTCGTGAACACATACTGCTGTTATATAAAGTCACCTCCGTGAACACATACTGCTGTTATATAAAGTCACCTCCGTGAACACATACTGCTGTTATATAAAGTCACCTCCGTGAACACATACTGCTGTTATATAAAGTCACCTCCGTGAACACATACTGCTGTTATATAAAGTCACCTCCGTGAACACATACTGCTGTTATATAAAGTCACCTCGTGAACACATACTGCTGTTATATAAAGTCACCTCCGTGAACACATACTGCTGTTATATAAAGTCACCTCCGTGAACACATACTGCTGTTATATAAAGTCACCTCCGTGAACACATACTGCTGTTATATAAAGTCACCTCCGTGAACACATACTGCTGTTATATAAAGTCACCTCCGTGAACACATACTGCTGTTATATAAAGTCACCTCCGTGAACACATACTGCTGTTATATAAAGTCACCTCCGTGAACACATACTGCTGTTATATAAAGTCACCTCCGTGAACACATACTGCTGTTATATAAAGTCACCTCCGTGAACACATACTGCTGTTATATAAAGTCACCTCGTGAACACATACTGCTGTTATATAAAGTCACCTCCGTGAACACATACTGCTGTTATATAAAGTCACCTCCGTGAACACATACTGCTGTTATATAAAGTCACCTCCGTGAACACATACTGCTGTTATATAAAGTCACCTCCGTGAACACATACTGCTGTTATATAAAGTCACCTCCGTGAACACATACTGCTGTTATATAAAGTCACCTCCGTGAACACATACTGCTGTTATATAAAGTCACCTCCGTGAACACATACTGCTGTTATATAAAGTCACCTCCGTGAACACATACTGCTTGTTATATAGAGTCACCTCCGTGAACACATACTGCTGTTATATAAAGTCACCTGCGTGAACACATACTGCTGTTATATAAAGTCACCTCCGTGAACACATACTGCTGTTATATAAAGTCACCTCCGTGAACACATACTGCTGTTATATAAAGTCACCTCCGTGAACATATACTGCTGTTATATAAAAGTCACTGTGAACACATACTGCTGTTATAATAAAGTCACCTCCGTGAACATATACTGCTGTTATATAATGTAAAGCTGCATTATTGGAGGAGAAACTAATATACGGAAAGCCGCTAGCTTAACTCCGTTAGCATCAAAGTCCGCCCGCTACTTCCGCCACTTCCGCCACTTCCGGCGGGCTCCCACTGCAGCAGGACTTCTGGTCTGAAGACCCCTGCGTTTGAATTGTTCGTCTGGGTGCGCGAGGCGTCAGCGTTCCAGCGTTGGCGGTGTGAAAGCACCTTTGTTTGATCATCACAGGTCATAAATAGAGAGCTGCAGACGCTTCTACCTCTTTCCCACTAGTCCCGATACCACTGGTATAACATGACAGTTCCCTCTGGTCTCTCGCTGGTCTCTCTCTGGTCTCTCTCTCTGGTCTCTCTCTCTCTCTCTCTCTCTCTGGTCTCTCTCTGGTCGCTCTCTGGTCTCTCTCTGGTCTCTCTCTGGTCTCTCTCTCATGATCTCTCTCTAGTCTCTCTCTGGTCTCTCTCTGGTCTCTCTCTGGTCTCTCTCTGATCTCTCTCTGGTCTCTCTATAGTCTCTCTCTGGTCTCTCTGGTCTCTCTCTGGTCTCTGTCCAAACTCAAGGTAATTAAAAGTTTAAGTCCTGGTGAATGTAAAATCCATTTGGAGCTAATCCGTCGTGGCTGCTGTGATCTGTTTACCGCAAAGCAGCTGTTTAAATCCACAAATCGCTTTTTTCCTGAATTTGCATCACGCCTTTTCTTTGTGCTTTCCATTCCACCCCAGACTTGTTTTCCATTTAACTTGCTCATTTCCTCTGTGTGTGTGTGTGTGTGTGTGTGTCTGTGTGTGCGTGCGTGTGTTTTTTGTGTGTGCGTGTGTGTCTGTTTTTTGTGTGTGTGTGTGTGTGTGTCTGTGTGTGTGCGTGCGTGTGTTTTTGTGTGTGCGTGTGTGTCTGTTGTGTGTGTGTGTGTGTGTGGTGTGTGCGTGCGTCTGTGTGCGTGCGTCTGTGTGTGCGTGCGTGTGTTTTTGTGTGTGCGTGTGTGTCTGTTTGTGTGTGTGTGTGTGTATGTGGCGCCCTCAGGTGGATTTCGCCTTCATCGTGTGGCAGAGTTCCCAGAGAGGATTGTGGGATATCCGGCCCGGAGCCATTACTGGGATAGCTCCCCGGTCGCGCTGGGGCTACACGTCCAAATGGACCAACGACTATTCAATGGTGCTAACAGGGGCCGCCTTCTACCACAGGTATTCGGACCAACGCAACACACTGCAAAAAGTGATGAAAAATAAGTCAAAAATTGTTTGAAATTGGCAAAGAAATATATAAGGCAGAATGTGCTCAATTTAAGATTGAGCACATTCTGCCTTAAACCAGATTCTCCAATGGGACAAAGCAAAAATACTCTTGTTTTAAAAAGATACCAGAAATGTGTCCCTTGGAATGTGAAAAAAGCAACAGTTGTTTGAAGTGAGCGGACGAAGCCTTTTGCAGGAGACACCTCTCTTGTTCTTCCCTTCCCCCCCTTCCTCTCCCTCTCCCCCCTCCTCTGCTGTCACCCCCCTCCCCCATCTCCCCCTCTCCTCTGTCGCCCCTTGTCTCCCCCCCAGCTCCCCCCTTCTTCCCCCATCTCCCCCCTTCTCCCCCCTCCTCCCCCGTCTCCCCCCTCTCTCTCCGTGTGGATTGTCCTTTTACACAGGTTTTGTGGTCAGCTCTTGGTGATTGATGGTCTGACCGCAGCAGCACGATGACTCTGCACCATGGAGCCTGTGATTAATGTCTTAATGTGAAACCAGCAAACCAGCAAACTAAACCAGAAAACTAAACCAGCAAACCAGCAAACTAAACCAGCAAACTTAACCAGCAAACCAGCAAACTAAACCAGCAAACTAAACCAGTAAAGCAAACCAGGAAACTAAACCCCTTTCTCGGTACGGGAAAGGGGTTTGTGGCTGAGTGGGTAGCACTCTCGCCTCTCAGCAAGAAGGTCCTGGGTTCGAATCCCGGTCGGACCAGGGCCTTTCTGAGTGGAGTTTGCATGTTCTCCCCGTGTCTGCGTAGGTTTCCTCCGGGTACTCCGGTTTCCCCTACCACTAAAAATATGTCCAATAGTTCTGACATGCGCTTCCTGTACTGGCAACCCTGCTCCCATCTCTGTGTGGAGTGAGAGACAAATGCCCAAAAATGAAGCTCTTCGCGAAAGTTCACTGTGGTAGACCCGGCCACTGCTGCCAGATCTACAAGCCTGCTCATCCTCTACTCATTACACCAGCAAAACGCCCACATCTAATCCACCAATAACCACCAGGACAGCAAGTTAAAAGCCGGGGACGCCCACTTCCCGATCTTCTGAAGTTTGCAAACTTCTGAAGCCTGCAAGGTGCATGTCGCTAACGCACCTGTTCGCAAATGCATGCGTTGTTCTGGAGGGGTCGCTTCTGCTCACGTGTTGCTCGTGCGCGTGGCCCGGCTGTCCTCAGTCTGGCTGCTCGTGGTCTGCTCCTCCTCCGCGTCCCTGCACCTGCTGTGGTTCGCATATCCCCACTGCTCTCCTCCTCTGCGGGCTCTTCTGCGGGCTGCTCCGCGGGGCCCCTCCGCGGGGCCCCTCTGCAGGTTCTGTGCTGCTTGTTCCTCGTGGTCTGCTGCCGCGCGCAGACGGTCAGGCGGTGCCGTGCGTGTCCCTGCCTCCGACTGGCGGTGCCGCGTTGTCCCGTTGCTTTCCCACGTCTCCTGGCATGTGAGTACAGTGAGTGTGCCGACCGCGGACAGTTTAATCCCGGAGTCTAGGCTGCAGGCGGCTGGTTTTTGCCCTACGCACTTGACTGCAGGCGCCAGTCTTCGCCCGTGCTTGGTCTGCAGGCTCCGTTTTACACGTGTTGAGCTAACTGAGGGACAATGCATCTTAAATGGCATCCATCTCCAATGTCTGAGGGATATAAGAGGAGCAATGTGCATTAATTCAGATTCATGTTCTGCCACTTGCAGTAAAACCACGTTGGAAAAAATGTGCAAAGTCTACCCCATCGTGCTCCAGACGGCACACACCAGAACTCTTTACATCATCTTTACAGCATTAATCTCATTACTCGCAGGTCACTATTGTTAAATGAATGTATTTAAATTCGTCTATCTGCAGGAGGAAGGAGGGGCCATGCATTTAAATAGCTAGGTCACTAGTATTAAATTGGGTAACTAAACTGCAGTTGTTGCATTTTGAAAGTGCAGCAGAAAGAAAAGGGGCCCAATGTGAATCTGCAATGGGTGTGAATTGGTGTTGGAGCTGATGAACGCGTGGAAAAGTGATCGTTCATGCGTATCTGCCATAACCAAAGCAGCAAGATGGCTCCAGGGGACATCTGTTTTTCGAATGGGAATGTTTCGGATTCGGGTTGATTTATTTCCTCAGGCTCTTAAACAACCATGGGCATGGTTCTCTGACCGCCGCTGCTGCGGTCCCTGCTGCCGTTCCTACTGATGCCTGATCCCGCTGATGCCTGTTCCCGCTGCTGCCTGTTCCTGCTGCCGCTCCTGCTGCTGCCTGTCCCTGCTGCCTGCTCCTGCTGCTCCTACTACTACAAGTGCCGCTGCTGCTGTTCCTGCCGCTGCCGCTCCGCGGGCTCCCGGGCGGCACCTGTCTCTACGGCTCGGCTCTTTCAGACACGTATGTAACCTGGCTCACGGAGACAAGCGGCGCACGCTGGCGTGACACGTCTGCTGTTCGTATGAATCGCATTGTGCTGCTGCTGCTGCTGCTAATGCTGCTTCTGCTGCTTCATACTGCTACCGCTACTGCTGCTATTGCTGCTACTGCTGCTACTGCTACCGCTACTGCTGCTACTGCTGCCGCTAATGCTGCTATTGCTGCCGCTGCTGCTTCATACTGCTACTGCTGCCGTGCTGCTGCTGCTTTACTTTGACACCTCTCTTCACTTCGCATCTCTTTTACTGAAACACTAAACAGCTTCAACAATATTCTACTGCGGTGGCTTTGATACAGGATTATTGCTGTTATTATCTACGGATGCTGCAACCGCTGCTACAGGATTATTGCTGTTATTATCTACGGATGCTGCTGCTGCTGCTGCTGCTGCTTCATACTGCTACTGCTGCTGCTGCTTCATACTGCTACTGCTACTGCTGCTGCTTCATACGGCTACTGCTGCTACTACTGCTGCTGCTGCTTCATTTACTTTGCCATCTTTCTTCACTTGCATCTCTTTTACTGAAACCCTGAACAGCTACAACAACATTCACTACTGTGGCTTTGATACAGAATTATTACTGTTATTTTCTAAGGACGCTGCTGCTGCTGCTGCTGCTGCCGCGGCTTGATACAGGACTATTGCTGTTATTATCTGAGGTTACTGCTGCTGCCGCTGCTGCTACTGCTACTGCTGCAACCCACTCTCTCAGAAGCTTATCCTGCTTCTAATGGATGCAGCCCGGCTGAGTATGCCGCGCTGCGCCGGACTCGCACCTATGCTCCCAGGGTCGCTTCGGCGGTCGTGCTTCATCTCTCTACTTAATCTTCTGATCCATCAGATGCAGCTGGCCGAGTAGCTGCGCTGAGCCGTCAATCGGACTCCTAATCAAAGGCATCCATACCTGTATTCTTCACTCTTCTGATCGCAGGCTCCCCGTCATGCTGCCCATCCTGCAGCGGCGCTGAACTCCGGCTCATCTTCCAAGTACATGTCTGCCCTCCTCGCAGCATCTTCCTGCTCGCCTTCTATGGCTTCTCTGCATAAGCGTTTCACCACTGCTCGCTCAACCTTCATGCGGTCCGAGACACGGCTTTCCCGACCATCCTACTATCCTGATTATCTACTCTCCAACCCAAGATTCTAAGCGTAAGGGCGCCTGCAACATCAATGGCCCTCTCCGATATGTCTCTGCCCCTACAGGTCTCCGCTTCTACACGGACGCTGCCCCTTCCGTGGGTTTTGGGGGATTCTTCCAGGACCATTGGTTTGCCGAGCGTGGCCACTACTTTCCACCGGAGCATCTCTTCTGCCCTACACGAGATATTCCCAGTGGTCGTGGCCTGCGCGCTGTGGAATCACACGTGGCAGAGAAAGAGGATCTCTGTCATGTGTGATAATCTCGACGTAGTGGAAGCATTACACAAAGGTCGCTCTTTTTCACCCAACATAATGTCCCCTGACCATTTCAACCTCCGTCTCAAACATTCAAAAATCAAAGGAGCCTGCAATATAGTAATAGCTCGCTCGGACACATCTCTCTGCCCCTACAAATCCATGATGCGTTACACTCGCCTCCGCTGCAAAAAGGAGATTTTAACGGACCTGTCTTTCTCACTCCAGACATTTTTCCCATGACAGCAACCTGGTTCAGAGCTCAACTAAGATCCCTACTGCTCCTCTGTAAATTGTCTCCCCAGCTCTACACAGCCCACTCCTTCAGGATAGGCGCTGCCACGCGCGCGGCCTCGCTGGGGCTGCCCCACACCTCTCTGCAACAGCTGGGGCGCTGGTCCTCTTCGGCCTTCTCCGCCTACATCAGGCCAGACGCGTCCGCCATCCTGGCTGCACAACGGCTACTGGCTTCTTCGTAAGCTCCCAGCAAAGCAATACAAAGCAAAGTAAGTGAACCAATAGGATTTCTGGTGGCGGCACGCACTTCTAAAGATAACTCTGCTACAGCGTCTGGTACCGATCGTGATGCGAGCGCTCACGTCCCAGACAGCGTCCGGTTGATCGTGATGCGAGCGCGCACGTCCCGGCGCTCAAAGATAACTCTGCTACAGTAACTCTGCTACAGCGTCTGGTATCGATCGTGATGCGAGCGCTCACGTCCCAGACAGCGTCCGGTTGATCGTGATGCGAGCGCTCACGTCCCGGCGCTCAAAGACAACTCTGCTACAGCGTCTGGTATCGATCGTGATGCGAGCGCTCACGTCCCAGGCAGCGTCCGGTTAAATCGTGATGCGAGCGCTCACGTCCCGGCGCTCAAAGACAACTCTGCTACAGCGTCTGGTATCGATCGTGATGCGAGCGCTCACGTCCCAGGCAGCGTCCGGTTAAATCGTGATGCGAGCGCTCACGTCCCGGCGCTCAAAGACAACTCTGCTACAGCGTCTGGTATCGATCGTGATGCGAGCGCTCACGTCCCAGGCAGCGTCCGGTTAAATCGTGATGCGAGCGCTCACGTCCCGGCGCTCAAAGACAACTCTGCTACAGCGTCTGGTATCGATCGTGATGCGAGCGCTCACGTCCCAGGCAGCGTCCGGTTAAATCGTGATGCGAGCGCTCACGTCCCGGCGCTCAAAGACAACTCTGCTACAGCGTCTGGTATCGATCGTGATGCGAGCGCTCACGTCCCAGGCAGTGTCCGGTTGATCGTGAAGCGAGCGCTCACTTCCCGGCGCGCAAAGGTAACTCTGCCCGTTTTTGGGGATTATGCGCGCGAGCAAGCGCCGCACTCAACAGCATCTCTCCCGGGCCTAGGGCGCCAAACATACTCAATCAACAAACTTCTAACTGCATTTTCCCTCTTGGGTCTCTCCAAAGTGAAATGAAGCTCTTCGCGAAAGTTCACTGTGGTAGACCCGGCCACTGCTGCCAGATCTACAAGCCTGCTCATCCTCTACTCATTACACCAGCAAAACGCCCACATCTAATCCACCAATAACCACCAGGACAGCAAGTTAAAAGCCGGGGACGCCCACTTCCCGGCCTTCTGAAGTTTGCAAAGCCTCCGCCGCCCCACCTCCTCCTTCTCTCATCGAAGCGTGCTCGCCTACTGCCTCTGCCGTCACCAGTGCCTAGGCCCCGGGGGGGATTATGCGCGCGAGCAAGCGCCGCACTCAACAGCATCTCTCCCGGGCCTAGGGCGCCAAACATACTCAATCAACAAACTTCTAACTGCATTTTCCCTCTTGGGTCTCTCCAAAGTGAATTAACAATTGTAAACCGCTTTGAGACTCAGATCTGCAGTGAAAAGGCGGTATATAAATAAAAACTTACTTACTTACTTACTTCTCTGCACCTGGTTTCTCTGCACCTGGTTTCTCTGCACCTGGTTTCGCTGTGTTCTGAGCCTCTTTTGTTGTGTGTGCAAGTGTAAAGATGGGGATTTAAAAATACAACTCAAAACGATGTCACAAAACACTTATTGTTAGGACCGGGTCACTTTGTTTGGACCTATTTGGACCGGACTCATTTAGTGTTTTTAAAAAGGAGTCGGAGAAACTCAAAACACACAGGTCTGACACGGTTTGGTCTCAAAGACGCTGAAGGCCTCTCGGCGCTTTCAAAGACGTCTCGTAACTTTCCCCTAATGCTCAGTATTATTAACAGTATTATTAACAGTATTAGTCAGAGTATTATTAACAGTATTAGTAACAGTATTAGTCACAGTATTAGTAACAGTATTATTAACAGTATTATTAACAGTATTAGTAACAGTATTAGTTGCCAACCATGGACAGCACTAATATTAGAACTGTGACGTCGCCCGGCATGGCGCAGCCGGGGCCCCACCCTGGAGCCAGGCCTGGGGTCGGGGCTCGCAAGCGAGCGCCTGGTGGCCGGGCCTTAGCCCACGGGGCCCGGCCGGGCTCAGCCCGAAGGGATGACGTGGGCAGTCCCTCCTGTGGGCCCACCACCTGCAGAGGGGTCCGTGGTGGCGAGGTGCAGAGAGGACTGGGCAGCAGTCGAAGGCGGAGACCTCGACGACCCAGTCCACACACCCAACATCTGGCTCTTGGGACGTGGAACGTCACCTCACTGGGGGGGAAGGAGCCCGAGCTTGTGGGGGAGGTTGAGCGATACGATAGCTTCTCCCAGGTCCCGGCAGAGGAGGGGGACATCAAGTCCGAGTGGACCATGTTCTCTTCCTCTATTGCCAATGCGGCGGCTCGTAGCTGTGGTCGCAAGGTCTCTGGTGCTGGTCCCGGCGGCAATCCCCGAACCCGGTGGTGGACACCGGCAGTAAGGGATGCCGTCAGGCTGAAGAAGGAGTCCTATCGAGCAATGATGGTTCGTGGGACTCCTGAGGCAGCTGTCCAGTACCGGCAGGCCAAGCGTGCCGCGGCCCGGGCGGTTGCAGAGGCAAAAACCCGGGACTGGGAGGAGTTCGGAGAGTCCATGGAGTATGACTATCGGTCGGCCTCGAAGAGGTTCTGGCAAACCGTCCGGCGCCTCAGGAGGGGGAAGCAGTTCTTTGCCAACACCGTGTATGGTGCGGGTGGAGGGCTGCTGACCTCGACTGGGGATATTGTCGGACGGTGGAAGGAATACTTTGAGGTTCTCCTCAATCCCCCCGTCACGTCCTCCGTCCAGGAGGCAGAGGCTGAGGATGTTGGGGCGGATACTTCCATCTCCCTGGCCGAGGTCACCAAGGTGGTTGGCAGCCTCCATGGTGGCAAGGCGCCGGGAGTGGATGAGATCCGTCCTGACTATCTAAAGTCTCTGGATGTTGTAGGACTGTCTTGGCTGACACGTCTCTGCAACATCGCGTGGCGATCGGGGGCGGTGCCAATGGAGTGGCAGACCGGGGTGGTGGTCCCTCTCTACAAGAAGGGGGACCGGAGGGTGTGTTCCAATTATCGTGGGATCACACTCCTCAGCCTCCCCGGTAAGGTCTACTCCAAGGTACTGGAGAGGAGGCTACGTCCGATGGTCGAATCTCGGATTCAGGAGGAGCAGTGTGGTTTTTGTCCCGGTCGCGGAACACTCGACCAGCTCTATACTCTCTATCGGATACTCGAGGGTTCATGGGAGTTCGCCCAACCTGTCCACATGTGCTTTGTGGATTTGGAGAAGGCGTTCGACCGTGTTCCCCGGGGTGTCCTTTGGGGGGTCCTCCGTGAGTACGGGGTCCGGAGTCCTCTGCTGAGGGCCGTCCGGTCCCTGTATGACCGGAGTCAGAGCTGTGTTCGCATTGCCGGCAGTAAGTCAGACCTGTTCCCGGTGCATGTTGGCCTCCGCCAAGGCTGCCCTTTGTCACCGGTTCTGTTCACTGTATTTATGGACAGAATTTCTAGGCGCAGCCAGGGGCCGGAGGGGGTCCGGTTCGGGGACCACAGGATTTCATCTCTACTTTTTACGGATGATGTCGTCCTGCTGGCTCCAACGAACCAGGACCTGCAGCATGCACTGGGACGGTTTGCAGCCGAGTGTGAAGCGGCTGGGATGAGAATCGGCACCTCCAAATCTGAGGCCATGGTGCTCGACCGGAAAAAGGTGCCTTGCCCTCTACAGGTGGGTGGAGAGGTCCTTCCTCAAGTGGAGGAGTTCAAGTATCTCGGGGTCTTGTTCACGAGTGAGGGAAGGATGGAGCGTGAGATTGACAGGCGGATCGGTGCAGCGTGCGCAGTGATGCGGTCGCTGTATTGGACCGTTGTGGTAAAGAGGGAGCTGAGCCGAAAGGCGAAGCTCTCGATTTACCGGTCAATCTTCGTTCCCTCCCTCACCTATGGTCATGAGCTGTGGGTAATGACCGAAAGAACGAGATCGCGGATACAAGCAGTCGAAATGAGCTTCCTCCGCAGAGTGGCTGGGCGCTCCCTTAGAGATAGGGTGAGGAGCTCGGTCACACGGGAGGAGCTCGGAGTATTGCCGCTGCTACTCCACGCCGAGAGGAACCAGTTGAGGTGGATCGGGCATCTGTTCAGGATGCCTCCTGGACGCCTTCCTGGGGAGGTGTTCCGGGCACGTCCCACCGGGAGGAGGCCCCGGGGAAGACCCAGGACACGCTGGAGGGACTATGTCTCTCAGCTGGCCTGGGAACGCCTTGGGGTCTCCCCGGACGAGCTGGAGGAAGTGTGTGTGGATAGGGAAGTCTAGGCGTCTCTGCTTAGACTGCTGCCCCCGCGACCCGGCAACGGATAAAGCGGAAGAAAACGGATGGATGGATGGATGGATATTAGTTACTGTATTAGTCACAGTATTAGTAACAGTATTAGTCACAGTATTATTAACAGTTTTAGTCACAGTATTATTAACAGTATTAGTAACAGTATTAGTAACAGTATTAGTCACAGTATTATTAACAGTATTAGTAACAGTATTAGTCACAGTATTATTAACAGTATTAGTAACAGTATTAGTAAAAGTAATAGTCACAGTATTATTAACAGTATTAGTAACAGTATTAGTAAAAGTATTAGTCACAGTATTATTAACAGTATTATTAACATTATTAGTAGCAGTATTAGTCACAGTATTATTAACAGTATTAGTCACAGTATTATTAACAGTATTAGTCACAGTATTATTAACAGTATTAGTAACAGTATCAGTGACAGTATTAGTCACAGTATTAGTCACAGTATTAGTAATAGTATTAGTCACAGTATTAGTAACAGTATTATTAACAGTATTAGTAACTGTATTAACAGTATTAGTCACAGTATTATTAACAGTATTATTAACAGTATTAGTCACAGTATTATTAACAGTATTAGTAACAGTATTATTAACAGTATTATTAACAGTATTAACAGTATTAGTCACAGTATTATTAACAGTATTATTAACAGTATTAGTCACAGTATTATTAACAGTATTAGTAACAGTATTATTAACAGTATTATTAACAGTATTAGTCACAGTATTAGTAACAGTATTAGTCACAGTATTAGTAACAGTATTAGTAACAGTATTAGTAACAGTATTATTAACAGTATTAGTCACAGTATTATTAACAGTATTATTAACAGTATTAGTCACAGTATTATTAACAGTATTAGTAACAGTATTAGTAACAGTATCAGTCACAGTATTAGTAACAGTATTATTAACAGTATTAGTAACAGTATTATTAACAGTATTATTAACAGTATTAGTCACAGTATTAGTAACAGTATTAGTAACAGTATTAGTAACAGTATTAGTAACAGTATTAGTAACAGTATTAGCAACAGTATTAGTAACAGTATTAGTTAAGTTAATATAACTGCCATCAAGTATAATAAATGTAGTTTACTTATTTGTTCGCTTCGGGAAATGTGTCGTCTGCATTTGAGCCATCGCTGAAGTAACAAAGATCACAAATTGTGTGTATGTATAAGTAGAATACAATAAATTACAGAATAGGATTTACAGAGCACAGGGACTGGCTTCCTGCTGGGACTCTGAGGAGCACAGGGACTGGACTCCTGCTGGGACTCTGAGGGGCACAGGGACTGGACTCCTGCTGGGACTCTGAGGAGCACAGGGACTGGACTCCCGCTGGGACTCTGAGGGGCACAGGGACTGGACTCCTGCTGGGACTCTGAGGAGCACAGGGACTGGCCTCCTGCTGGGACTCTGAGGAGCACAGGGACTGGCCTCCTACTGGTCCCAGAGTCAGGACTAAACATGAGGAGGAAGCGTATCAGATTTATGCTGCTAAAAACAGTCTTCCTGAAAATGTGAGACAGGCTGCTAGCTGAGATACATCTGAAGGATTGTATGTTCAGTCTTCTGAATGTGATTAATGATGATTCCGGTGCAAACCCTAACCCTGTGTTTGGGCCTCGAGTATGGCCTGTTCCTGACTGTACCTCTTTACTCTAGAACAGTAACTTTATCCTGTCTCTGTGTCCAGGGCTCGAAGACGTCCCGCTGGGCCGACCCGGACCACTTCGCCCAGAGGCAGAGCTGCATGAACGCCTTCAGCCGCTGGCTCGGCTTCATGCCCCTGCTGCACTCCCAGATGAGGCTGGACCCAGTGCTTTTCCGGGACCAGGTGTCCATTCTGAGGAAAAAGTACCGCGACATTGAACGATTGTGAACGACTGTGAACTTCAGTGAAGCCCCAGGACAGGACCGGGGGTGACAGATACACCTGTAACCTGCATGGACCCTCATGGACCCTCACAGATCCTCACGGACCCTTACGGACCCTCATGACCCTCACGGACCCTCACGGACCCTCACGGACCCTCACGGACCCTCATGGACCCTCATGGACCCTCACAGATCCTCACGGATCCTTACGGACCCTCATGACCCTCACGGACCCTCACGGACCCTCATGGACCCTCATGGACCCTCACAGATCCTCACGGATCCTTACGGACCCTCATGGACCCTCATGGACCCTCACAGATCCTCACGGATCCTTACGGACCCTCATGACCCTCACAGACCCTCACGGACCCTCATGGACCCTCATGACCCTCACGGACCCTCATGCAATAAGAGCTAGATGAAGCCAAAGGACACAGCGGCGCGACTGCTGAGAAACTCTTTAATGTTGCATGGTTTGAATGCAGTGGAAAGTATTGTGTTAGAGAGAAAGTACAATCATCAAGATACGGACCAAACCGACGTCACCAGAGCCACATTCACCGAGAGACTTTGGCAACGAACCCATGTACAGTAGATTTACAGCAGCAGCAGTCTGTGCAAAAGAAGAATAAAGAGATATAAAAACAATGATGTGATTATTTGTTTGTGAAGAAGGGAAAGGGTTAGTACAGGGCCAGTGTCTTGCTACGATGGTTGCTAAGGCACACTGGAGTTTCCCCCTCAAATGATGGTGTGTGATTGATTAATTCTTACCATACAGTATCTGGACACACCAGGATCATAACGAGCGCTAAACCACTGATGGTTTTAATACTAAAATGGTGAGTGTGACATGGTCTACCGTTCTATGTAAGTCAATAGGAGCCAGAGCGAGTTGGAGCTAAACTTTGTCCATGAGCACTTCCCTATTGGGTTTCATACTGGGTTAGCTCTGTCCATCTGTATCTATGTTTAGTCTATGGTTGTGCCTTGATGGTTCCTCGCACTCTAAGGGTCACTGACAGACCCTTTACGTTCTGTTAATAACATTTCTACTTTTAAGAAGAATTCAAACACATTTAGATTCGACGCAGACTAATGTTTTTATCGTTTTTTATTTCTGCTTCACATGTAAAATAAATATAATACAATATAAGACATACAGGATTATTATTATTTTGGAAACAAACTTACATTCCTATAATCAAGCAGAAATGACGGATTCAAAAGTGAAAAACATAAAATGGGTTTTTAAACATTTTTAAAACCTAATTTCTGGATTCATCCAACTTTTGAAAAAAAAAAATCTTGGTTCGTTAGTAGATAAAAAAGAGAAAAATAAAATGCCATTTCTGCAACCATAAAGCTGAGGCCCCCTGCAGGTGAAACCCAGACCCCGTCAGATGGAAAACCTCAGGTCCAAGGCCAAGTCCAAACTGGGGTAGAAGCTGAAGCCCAGTTGGGACTCAGATGGGACCACCCCAGACTGAGACTTAGACGGGACCACCCCAGATGGAGACTCGGATGGGACAGAACCAGACGGTGACTCAGACGGGACCACCCCAGATGGAGAAAGGGCAGGCTCCTTTTGTGGCACTGGCACCTGCCACAGCTGATCAGTGGAATGTATACAACAGTTAAAACGGCATGTGGACAACAAGTGGCGTTTAAAACGGCATGTGGGGAATAAATGGCGTTTAAAACGGCATGTGGGGAATAAATGGCGTTTAAAGCGGCAAGTTATCGCATAAACTTGTTCATGGGCCTAATTTCATTTATGATAAATTGTTTAAATAATTTGAAATGCATACCTGACTGTGGGCACACCTGTTTTATAACTGCCTCTGATGCGGAAGACTCCAGGTTCAATGCCAAGCCTTGTTATTTGTAATTTTTTTGTCAGATTAAATAGAAATGTAATATGTATGAATATATATTTCATATATATAAAAAATGTCCACTCACCTTTGGCCCTCCGTGGGCGGTTATCCCTCTCTAAGCTCGGGTCCTCTACCAGAGGCCTGGGAGCTTGAGGGTTCTGCGCAGTATCTTTGCTGTTCCTAGCACTGCACATTTCTGGACCGAGATGTCCGAGGTTGTTCCAGGGATCCGCTGTAACCTCTTCTAGCTTCGGGGTCACTGCCCCGAGTGCACCATCACCACGGGCACAACTGTGACCTTTACCCTCCAGGCCCTCTCCAGCTCCTCTCTGAGACCTTGGTATTTCTCAAGCTTTTCATGTTCTTTTTTCCGGATGTTACCATCGCTTGGAATTGCCACGTCCACCACCACGGCTGTCCTCTGCCCTTTGTCCACCACCACGGCTGTCCTCTGCCCTTTGTCCACCACCACGGCTGTCCTCTGCCCTTTGTCCACCACCACGGCTGTCCTCTGCCCTTTGTCCACCACCACGGCTGTCCTCTGCCCTTTGTCCACCACCACGGCTGTCCTCTGCCCTTTGTCTACCACCACGGCTGTCCTCTGCCCTTTGTCCACCACCACGGCTGTCCTCTGCCCTTTGTCCACCACCACGGCTGTCCTCTGCCTTTTGTCTACCACCACAATGTCAGGTTGGTTTGCCATTATCATTCGGTCGGTCTGTATCTGGAAGTCCCACAGGATCTTTGCACGCTCATTTTCCACCACCTTTGGAGGAGTTTCCCACTTAGACCTTGGGGTTTCCAGCCCATACTCTGCACAGATGTTTCTGTACACTATGCCATATATATATATATATATATATATATATATATATATATATATATAATCACTCCCAGAGGGAACAATAGCAGATGTTGAGGACAGTTACTGTCATGCTGTGGCTTTTATTTTTGTACTTTGGTTTTATTTTGACATTGTTTCTCTGTGGTTTTGTTTTGAGTTTGACTTCTGTGCTGTTTCCCCTGTCTTGATTGTCTGCCCCGCCCTGATGTGTTTCACCTGTGTCCCTGTCTATAATTACCCTGTGCCCCTCTCCACATGTTGCTTGTCCATTGTGTTGTCAACTTCTGTTCCGTCCTGTTCCTGGTGCTGTATTTTGGATTTTGAGTTTTGTTTTCACCTGGACATCAATTTTATTAAATCATTATTTTTTGCATTCCTGCATTTTGGGTCCTCTATCATTTCATCACATGACAGAATGGACCAGCCACATTTGGACTCAGCGGAATGCTATATTTTTTTTCACCACACCTACTCCCAGTTCATCTTCAATCACCAGGTTTTTACTTATTTTTTGCCTTCACTTCACTACCTACCTCGACCCGTTACCTGCAACCACCGCCGGACAAGAAACTCCGTCTGGGGTGGTCACCTGTCCTGCACCACCGCCGGGCATGGTTGTCCGTCCGGGGTGGTCCTCTGTTCCCCTCCCCCTGACCTGCTATGAGGTACCCAGTTAAGTCCTGGTCTGGATATTCTTGTCTGTCGCCCAAACTCCTCCACTGGTGGAGAATGAGCGTGCGAAGATCCTGTGGGATTTCCAGATACAGACCGACCGAATGGTAATGGCGAACCAACCTGACATCGTGGTGGTAGACAAAGGGCAGAGGACAGCCGTGGTGGTGGACAAAGGGCAGAGGACAGCCGTGGTGGTGGACAAAGGGCAGAGGACAGCCGTGGTGGTGGACAAAGGGCAGAGGACAGCCGTGGTGGTGGACAAAGGGCAGAGGACAGCCGTGGTGGTGGGCGTGGCAATTCCAAGCGATGGTAACATCCGGAAAAAACATGAAAAGCTTGAGAAATACCAAGGTCTCAGAGAGGAGCTGGACAGGGCCTGGAGGGTAAAGGTGACAGTAGTGCCCGTGGTGATCGGTGCACTCGGGGCAGTGACCCCGAAGCTAGAAGAGGTTACAGCGGATCCCTGGAACAACCTCGGACATCTCGGTCCAGAAATGTGCAGTGCTAGGAACAGCAAAGATACTGAACCCTCAGGCTCCCTGGCCTCTGGTAGAGGACCCGAGCTTAGAGAGGGATAACCGCCCGCGGAAGGCCAAAGGTGAGTGGACAATTTATATATATATATATATATATATATATATATATATATATATAATATGCATCTTGCATTAGGATTAATATTGCATCATCACTAGGGTAAAATAACCTGTCTCTCAACAGTCTACAGTGACTACCTACCATTGACATTTGCTGATGTTGGGTCCTTGGGCAAAACACTTCATGGAGAATGTCAGAAGTGCCATAAGTTGTTTGAAAAATGTTATTTGGGTAATATTATAAGTTATGTTGTAAAATTGCTCAAGGGCCTAATTTTATGCATGATTAATGGTTTAATTGCACTTAATTTGTAGGTGCTTGTGGTGCGCCTGATTTATAACTGCCGCTCAAGCGTTTTTTTTTGTCAGATTAAATACTATAAATATTATTATTTTATTTTTTTTATAATATGGCCCGGATTGGAACCGGGAGTCTTCCACAGTAGAGACAGTTGTAAACCAGGTGCGCCACAACCAGATACAATACTGAAGATATTTAAGCAATTTATAGTACATGAAATCAGGTCCTTGAACAAGTTTATGCAACAACTTATATTATAATATTACCCAAATAACTTTTTCAAACAATATATGGCACATTCTCCATGAAGTGTTTTGGCCAAGGATCCAACATCAGCAAATGTAAATGCTAGTCACTCGAGATTTGAATCAGCAACCATTGAAACCCCAGACCTGTGCTCTTCCATCTGAGCCACTGGACTAGTAGCTCCACAAATGCTGCTTGTTGTGTCTTGTACAGGCTGCTTTCAACTGTATTTGTTGTCCACATGCCGTTTTAAATGCCATTTACTACCCACATGCCGTTTTAAACGCATTTACTCCCCACATGCCGTTTTAAACGCCATTTACTCCCCACATGCCGTTTTAAACGCCATTTACTCCCCACATGCCGTTTTAAACGCCATTTACTCCCCACATGCCGTTTTAAACGCCATTTATTCCCCACATGCCGTTTTAAACGCCATTTATTCCCCACATGCCGTTTTAAACGCCATTTACTCCCCACACGGAGACTCAGACGGGAGCACCCCAGATGTAGACTCAAACGGTACCACCCCAGACGGGACCACCCCGGACGGTGACTCAGACGGGACCACCCCAGACGGGGGACTCAGACTGGACAGAACCAGACGGAGTGGTCCCATCTGGTCCCTGGTACCGGGTTGAGAGGAAGGCAGTGATGAGATGGTCCATTCTGTCACGTGGTGAAAAGGAGGACTCAAACTTCGGGAATTCAAAAAACAAACAAAATTAATTCATGATGATTAAATAACAATCCAAGTTGAAAACAAAATCTAACAAAAAAAACCAGGAAAACAGACTGACAAGAACCGAGACAATACAATCAACCAGCAACAAGGGGAGAGGAGCACAGGTACATATAGACACAGAGACACAAGTACATATGGACACACAGGTACATATAGACACAGAGACACGGGTACATATGGACACAGAGACACAGGTACATATGGACACACAGGTACAGATACACAGGTACATATGGACACACAGGTACATACACAGGTACATATGGAGACACAGGTACATATAGACACAGACAGACACAGGTACATATAGACACATACAGACACAGGTACATATAGACACAGGTACATACAGACACAGAGACACAGGTACATATAGACAGAGACACAGGTACATATAGACACAGGTACATATAGACAGAGACACAGGTACATATAGACACAGGTACATACAGACACAGAGACACAGGTACATATAGACACAGGAACAAGACTGGAAGTCAAAATGAAACAAAGTAAAAAATATCTAAACATCCAAACCGTGACAATCGCGGTAAGACCATTTCATTTTGTACAAGGGAAAAATCCTTGACCAGAGTCTACGGATGGCTAAGGCCAGGCTAAAGAAACTGACATTTATATATTTTGATAATTGTGTCTTATAATGGGACGTTTACCAGTGTCTCAAACTACAACAGACATTATTCATATAATGTCTCATGCTTCTTTCTTTTTTTCTATGAACTCGGCTGCTCTCGAAACCCAGTCCAGCGCTTGCTTTTCTCTGGCTCTAAACCCAGTGATGATTTACTGCCAGCTCCAATGGTTTTCATTCCACGTGGCTTTGGGGATTTCTCTTTGCAGTCTTATGATGCATTATGATGGTCCCTGCAGCAGCCTCTGTACCTGTGTGTACTGAGCCTGATGGCCAGGTTATCTAATGTAATCCAATGGGTTTTAAGACCAAAGAGGACTCCAGAGACTGAGAAACAAGCACTTGCAGTAGATCATAGTTCTACTTATGAGAAGGCGAGGGTTACGGCCAATGGACCAGCTCTGTGTGAGTGTGGACCATTTGAATGTAAAAGGATAGACTCGTAAACAATGGTGTGAGGTGAGTGTAATATATTATGCCAAAAGTAATTCATTCTTCCCAGAGAGAAAGAAGCCTTGATGCATCGTTGATTTCATGGAAGGGAATAGTCCGAGTTTTAGCCTGTTGAATATGTATTTGAATAATAAATGATGAGGCCTTGGACTTTGAAGTTGCTTTCGAGGCGTGTAGGGCTGGACCATTCTGGAATGATATTGCAATTGCAAGATTTCTGACCAAGATTGTGATGCAAATTTGTGGACTTTATCAGTGTGTCCCTTTAGTCATATTTCCTGAGTGTTCAGTTGTTTGTTGGGTTCTCGACCTGCTTATTCCCTCTCTGAAGTCCCTGCTGTGTAAGCGTTCTAAAGGCACAAGGATCAATAAGAACGCTGTAACTGATTCGACCTGATCATCTGTGGCGTCCCTCCGGAGGATACTAACCACCTTCACTTTATCACTTACTCTTGTTGAACACGGGACATGTGTGTGTGTTCTGTGTGTGTTCTGTGTCGTCAGAAAGGACCAGTGCGATGGAACATGGAAGACAGAAGACAGACCCAGGACCCGATGTTTCTTTCGTTTTGTAACAGTTTGATGAAATCCTGTTCTGTCCATGGGCTTCTCACTTTCTTTGCTTTGGTTGTAGAGCTGCAAGAGGGAGACGGAGGGACTGTGTCTCTCAGCTGGCCTGGGAACGCCTCAGGATTCTCCCAGATAAGCTGGAGGAAGTGTGTGGATAGGGAAGTCTGGCAGAGCACCTCCTCTCAGGCCAGAGCACCTCCTCTCGGCCCAGAGCACCTCCTCTCAGGCCAGAGCACCTCCTCTCGGCCCAGAGCACCTCCTCTCGGCCCAGAGCACCTCCTCTCGGCCCAGAGCACCTCCTCTCGGCCCAGAGCACCTCCTCTCGGCCAGAGCACCTCTCTCGGCCAGAGCACCTCCTCTCGGGCCAGAGCACCTCCTCTCGGGCCAGAGCACCTCCTCTCGGGCCAGAGCACCTCCTCTCGGGCCAGAGCACCTCCTCTCGGGCCAGAGCACCTCTTCTCGGGCCAGAGCACCTCTTCTCGGGCCAGAGCACCTCTTCTCGGGCCAGAGCACTCTCTCGGGCCAGAGCACCTCTTCTCGGGCCAGAGCACCTCTTCTCGGGCCAGAGCACCTCTTCTCGGGCCAGAGCACCTCTTCTCGGGCCAGAGCACCTCTTCTCGGCAGAGCCAGAGCACCTCTTCTCGGCCAGAGCACCTCTTCTCGGGCCAGAGCACCTCTTCTCGGGCCAGAGCACCTCTTCTCGGGCCAGAGCACCTCTTCTCGGGCCAGAGCACCTCTTCTCGGGCCAGAGCACCTCTTCTCGGGCCAGAGCACCTCTTCTCGGGGCCAGAGCACCTCTTCTCGGGCCAGAGCACCTTCTTCTCGGGCCAGAGCACCTCTTCTCGGGCCAGAGCACCTCTTCTCGGCCCGACACACTCTTCTGATCTCTGTTTACAGTTTTTCCTGTTGCTTTAACACATTTTTCAAAATTTCGCTCACAGTCCCAAAACTCTACACACAAGATAACCTGACACAACACTGGAACATAAATAAATATGTTTGTCAAAATGAAACTCCATTATCAAAACTCAGACTCTACTATCAAAACTCAAACTCTGCTCTCAAAACTCAAACTTTTCTCTCAAAAATAAACAATCATTTGTCAAAATGAGACTCTGAGGACAAAATTACACACACTTGCATCATGTGAACACACTTTCAGATCTGAAGCAACACACTACAGTACTTTACTGCAAACACAACAGTCATTTTCACTGTTTTTATTCTGTTTATCAGTTAGTTTTCAGTGAAGCTCAATAGAACTGTTTCGGTTGTCAGTAGTACTAAAAGGTTACAAATAATATCAACTCAATACTGTACATCACAGTACTACAGTATACTTTACATAAATACAAAACTTCTAATGTAAAACTAGGCAATTGTACGTGAGTGGGATTATGGATCATGTTCCTCCTCAGACTGCTTCCACGATGTTCCTGCTGTTGGTGAAGAGCTGTGGAGCTCCTTGAGATACAGAGATACTGTAGATACAGTCTGCAGTAGAGAGTTACAGTATATGTGAAACAGTACTGTAAATACTGTAGATACAGTCTGCAGTAGAGAGTTACAGTACATGTGATACAGTACTGTAAATACTGTAGATACAGTCTGCAGTAGAGAGTTACAGTACATGTGATACAGTACTGTAAATACTGTAGATACAGTCTGCAGTAGAGAGTTACAGTACATGTGATACAGTACTGTAAATACTGTAGATACAGTCTGCAGTACAGAGTTACAGTACATGTGATACAGTACTGTAAATACTGTAGATACAGTCTGCAGTAGAGGGTTACAGTACATGTGATACAGTACTGTAAATACTGTAGATACAGTCTGCAGTAGAGAGTTACAGTACATGTGATACAGTACTGTAAATACTGTAGATACAGTCTGCAGTACAGAGTTACAGTACATGTGATACAGTACTGTAAATACTGTAGATACAGTCTGCAGTAGAGGGTTACAGTACATGTGATACAGTACTGTAAATACTATAGATACAGTCTGCAGTAGAGGGTTACAGTACATGTGATACAGTACTGTAAATACAGTCTGCAGTAGAGGGTTACAGTACATGTGATACAGTACTGTAAATACTATAGATACAGTCTGCAGTACAGAGTTACAGTACATGTGATACAGTACTGTAAATACTGTAGATACAGTCTGCAGTACAGTTACAGTACATGTGATACAGTACTGTAAATACTGTAGATACAGTCTGCAGTAGAGGGTTACAGTACATGTGATACAGTACTGTAAATACTGTAGATACAGTCTGCAGTAGAGGGTTACAGTACATGTGATACAGTACTGTAAATACTGTAGATACAGTCTGCAGTACAGAGTTACAGTACATGTGATACAGTACTGTAAATACTGTAGATACAGTCTGCAGTAGAGGGTTACAGTACATGTGATACAGTACTGTAAATACTGTAGATACAGTCTGCAGTACAGAGTTACAGTACATGTGATACAGTACTGTAAATACTGTAGATACAGTCTGCAGTACAGAGTTACAGTACATGTGATACAGTACTGTAAATACTGTAGATACAGTCTGCAGTACAGAGTTACAGTACATGTGATACAGTACTGTAAATACTGTAGATACAGTCTGCAGTAGAGGGTTACAGTACATGTGATACAGTACTGTAAATACTATAGATACAGTCTGCAGTACAGAGTTACAGTACATGTGATACAGTACTGTAAATACAGTCTGCAGTACAGAGTTACAGTACATGTGATACAGTACTGTAAATACTATAGATACAGTCTGCAGTACAGAGTTACAGTACATCCTGGTCCTGATGCTGCAGCTGTGTCTGACTCTTGCTTCTCTCAGTGTGAGGTCATGGTTGATCACAAAAGTTGCTCTATTGTCAGAAATATCTTCAACCACAACTTCCTCCTTGTCTTCCTCTTCCTCTCTCTTGCTCTTCCTGCCTTCAAACTTTAAAAGTTCTGAAAATGGCTAAACTGAGGCCTGTTTGTGTCTGGCTGATGTGTGTCACGTTTTGTATATCAGTGTTTTCAAGTTTTCTGTCACACAATGTGTTTTGTATTTTGAATAGATGTGTTTTCCCAATGAAAACACAGGATTGCAATTATGAGCAAAGTGTCTTATGTATGACACAGTGTGTAGTGAGCAGGAGAAAGTGTGTTGTAGAAATGAAAGGAAAGTGTAAAGCAGTACTTTTGTTTAAGGAATGGTTAGTCTGTGTTTTAAGTTCAGTACAAAAGTTTCAGGTTCTTTAACTTTGGTCTAAGCGTCTGTCTATAGTGTTCAAGCAACAGGAAAAAACTGTAATGAAGGCCATCATGTTTGTATTTTCATGTTATTATTACAAGATCATCTTGGCATGTGCTAAATAAAGTCATCTTTATTTAGCACATGCCAGACCTGTTGTTCATGTGTTTAGTGGTAGGGGGAACCGGAGCACCCGGAGGAAACACAGGGAGACACAGGGAGAACATGCAAACACACACACACATTCCCCTCACTAAACACAGCCAATTGTAAATACGCACACATTTAAAGGCAAGTGAAGTTGTGTGTATCTGTGTGTGTATCAGTGTGTATATGTGTGTATAAGTGTATCTGTGTGTATGTGTCTGTGTGTATATGTGTGTATCTGTGTGTGTCTGTGTGTGTATATGTGTGTCTGTGTGTGTGTGTATATGTGTGTATATGTGTGTGTCTGTGTGTATATGTGTGTCTGCGTGTTTATGTGTGTGTCTGTGTGTATCTGTGTGTATATGTGTGTATAAGTGTATATGTGTGTATATGTGTGTGTCTGTGTGTATCTGTGTGTATATATGTGTGTCTGCGTGTGTCTGTGTGTATATGTGTGTGTGTGTCTCTGTGTATGTGTGTATATATGTGTGTCTGTGTGTATATGTGTGTGTCTGTGTATATGATTGTGTTGCTCTCAGACCACATCCTCTCATCTCCAACTCACTCACTTCAGATCCGTCAGCATCGTCTCATTCGTTACGGCTCCATTATGTGGAGAAATAACAAACGCATGAATAAATCTTCCCAAAGCCAGGCCCTCTCTCCTCTTGCTCCTCTCTCTCTCCTCTCTTGCTCTCTCTCTCTCGCTCTCTTTTTTATCCTCTTGCTCCTCTCTCCTTTCACTCTTCTCTCTCTCTCTCCTCTCGCTCCCTCTCTCCTTGCTCCACTCTCTTCTCTCTCTCTTCTCTCCTCTTGCTCCTCTCTCTCTCTCTCCTCTCTCGCCCCTCTCTCTCTTCTCTCCTCTTGCTCCTCTCTCTCTCCTCTCTTGCTCTCTCTCTCGCTCTCTTTTTTATCCTCTTGCTCCTCTCTCCTTTCACTCTTTTCTCTCTCTCCTCTAACTCTCATCTCGCTCCTCTCTCCTTTCTCTCCTCTCTCTCTCTCCTCTCGCTCCTCTCTCCTTGCTCCACTCTCTTCTCTCTCTCTTCTCTCCTCTTGCTCTCTCTCTCTCTCTCTCCTCTCTCGCCCCTCTCTCTCTTCTCTCCTCTTGCTCCTCTCTCTCTCTCTCTCCTCTCTCGCCCCTCTCTCTCTATTTTATCCTCTTGCTCCTCTCTCCTTTCACTCCTCTCTCTCCCCTCTCTCTCTTCTCTCTCTCTTCTCTCTCCTTGCTCCTCTCGCTCCTCTCTCCTTGTTCCTCTCACTCCTCTCTCCTCTCTCCTCTTGCTTCTCTCTCTCTCTCCTCTCGCTACTCTCTCCTTGCTCCTCTCGCTACTCTCTCCTCGCTCCTCTCGCTCCTCTCTCTCTCTTGCTCTTCTCTCCTCTCTTATCTCTCGCTCTTCTCTCCTCTCTCCTCTTGCTCCTCTCTCTCTCTCTGCCTCACTCTCTCTCTCTCCTCTCTCTCTCTCGCTCTCTCTCTCGCTCCTCTCTCTCTTTTTTATCCTCTTGCTCCTCTCTCCTTTCACTCCTCTCTCTCTCCTCTCTCTCTCTCTCTCTCCTCTCGCTCCTCTCTCCTTTCACTCCTCTCTCCTCTCTTCTATCTCTATCTCTCTCTCCTCTCGCTCCTCTCTCCTTGCTCCTCTCTCTCCTCTTGCTCCTCTCCTCTCTCTCGTCTCTCCTTGCTCCTCTCGCTACTCTCTCCTCACTCCTCTCGCTACTCTCTCCTCTCTCTCTCTCTTCTCTTATCTCTCCACTCTCCTCTCGCTCCTCTCTCTCCTCTCTACTCTGTCCTCTCTCCTCTCTTACTCGCTCTTCTCTCCTCTCTCATCTCTCGCTCTCCTCTGTCCTCTCTCTCCTCTCTCTCCTCTGTCCTCTCTCTCCTGCTCATGAGAGGGCGCTCATTGATTCGCCGTGAACCTAAACGGTTTGCACAGATGTAAATATACTGCTGCTAATGTACAGGTGTAAACATACTGCTGCTAATGTACAGAAGTAAACATACTGCTGCTAATGTACAGAAGTAAACATACTGCTGCTAATGTACAGAAGTAAACATACTGCTGCTAATGCACAGATGTAAATATACTGCTGCTAATGTACAGGTGTAAACATACTGCTGCTAATGTACAGAAGTAAACATACTGCTGCTAATGTACAGAAGTAAATATACTGCTGCTAATGTACAGAAGTAAAACATACTGCTGCTAATGCACAGATGTAAATATACTGCTGCTATGTACAGGTGTAAACATACTGCTGCTAATGTACAGAAGTAAACATACTGCTGCTAATGTACAGAAGTAAACATACTGCTGCTAATGTACAGAAGTAAACATACTGCTGCTAATGTACAGATGTAAACATACTGCTGCTAATGTACAGATGGTAACATACTGCTGCTAATGTACAGATGGTAACATACTGCTGCTAATGTACAGATGTAAACATACTGCTGCTAATGTACAGGTGTAAACATACTGCTGC